TACACAGAAGCATCTAACAGATGTCAAATCAATTAAAGACGACAAAACACAGGTTCCGCAAAACAGTGATAAAATGGATAAAGAATTCACCACAATAAAACCAGATACAACAGTAGAAGTACATCTTACATCGAAAACAGAGGCTGAAAAATCGACACCAATTGTTGAAGTTATTGAAGCCAAGCCAACAACACCGATGCCAATTAAAACTGATGTGGACGAACAATCTGTAAAACCAATTGATTTAGCAACAACTAGTGATCCTATAGTAGAAGAAAAAATAAGTGCAACGACACAGTCAGTTACACCAATGCAACAACCCGACGTAGTTCAGATGACAACCGGTGAATCTGTAGCTGTGATGAAAACAGATAAGGAGACATCAGAATCGACATCATCAGATAGTATTGCTCATACTACCATTTCTCTAAGCAAAGTAACCATGTCTGAAGAGTTAGTTGATGAATTGGGCTCCGGTGTTGAAAAAAATATTATATCACCTACAAATGAAACAAAATTTAAATCTGACAAGCCTATGCAAGTAATTGATGTTTTTACAACCACTGCAAGACCTGTTGAAGTAGCATCAACTACTGCTAAGGCCATCACTGTACAACAAAACACTTATGCTGTAGAAAAATTATTAACATCTTTAAAACCAGAATCTTCAGCTTTTGTTGATGTTTCCACTACACCGAAAGTCACTAATATTGTATCAGAAGAACAAGATATTGTATTTGGTTCTGGAGTTGAAGTAAAGCTAACATCAGAAAAATTACCAGGTTTTATGAGCACATTTAAACCAACACCAATTCCAAGCAAAGTGTACAAACCCACACCAGAAGTAGATGTTATTGATGGATTTACACAGAAGCATCTAACAGATGTCAAATCAATTAAAGACGACAAAACACAGGTTCCGCAAAACATTGATAAAATGGATAAAGAACTCACCACAATAAAACCAGATACAACAGTAGAAGTACATCTTACATCGAAAACAGAGGCTGAAAAATCGACACCAATTGTTGAAGTTATTGAAGCCAAGCCAACAACACCGATGCCAATTAAAACTGATGTGGACGAACATTCTGTAAAACCAATTGATTTAGCAACAACTAGTGACCCTATAGTAGAAGAAAAAATAAGTGCAACGACACAGTCAGTTACACCAATGCAACAACCTGACGTAGTTCAGACGACAACCGGTGAATCTGTAGCTGTGATGAAAACAGATAAGGAGACATCAGAATCGACATCATCAGATAGTATTGCTCATACTACCATTTCTCTAAGCAAAGTAACCGTGTCTGAAGAGTTAGTTGATGAATTGGGCTCCGGTGTTGAAAAAACTATTGTATCACCTACAAATGAAACAAAATTTAAATCTGACAAGCCTATGCAAGTAATTGATGTTTTTACAACCACTGCAAGACCTGTTGAAGTAGCATCAACTACTGCTAAGGCCATCACTGTACAACAAAACACTGATGGTGTAGAAAAATTATTAACATCTTTAAAACCAGAATCTTCAGCTTTTGTCGATGTTTCCACTACACCGAAAGTCACTGATATTGTATCAGAAGAACAATATATTGTATTTGGTTCTGGAGTTGAAGGAAAGGTAACATCAGAAAAAGTACCAGGTTTTATGAGCACATTTAAACCAACACCAATTCCAAGCAAAGTGTACAAACCCACACCAGAAGTAGATGTTATTGATGGATTTACACAGAAGCATCTAACAGATGTCAAATCAATTAAAGACGACAAAACACAGGTTCCGCAAAACATTGATAAAATGGATAAAGAACTCACCACAATAAAACCAGATACAACAGTAGATGTACATCT